TTCTAAAACAACCCTATTTCTGTGCGTGCAAATGTGTGTATTTTTTTTCCCTAACAGACCAAATCTGTGTTTTGTTCCTGGTTTGGCTGCCTGCACCATTTGCAGAACTGTAGAGGACCCAGTAAGTGGATGGCGAAGAAGCTGCGTATTATTATTACAGCTGCTGTTTTTCTAACTGCTCAAAGCACTGAGAGAATACAAAGTTTTGTTAACTAAGAGTCTCCCCCTTCCCACCTTGCGAACTCAGAAGAAGCCCTGAAAGCCCAAATACTTGTAAAATAAAATTTACTTGAAGCAAGTCACCACTTTGTATTTTTGTCCCAAGATCTGTTGCTCTCCCAGCTTTCCCTACTGAAGGTTTCCTATTAATTGGGCTCTCGGTCCAATAGTGGGTTGTCTGCCTCTGGCCTTCCCCTGTCTACCATAGCTGTGATGGTTAAAAGCTTCTCCGGTTTGTCACAGAGTTTAATATGCACCCTACATAATTATGCAGGATTCACTGTGCTATCAAACTGCAATTCAAATTAGTTCAGGATTAAAGGCACAGAACAGTACTGCTTCCTTAATTGCATTGTACTGTGCTGATCACATTCAAATACCCATTACTCATTCCCTCTGTGGAGCAATAAGTCAGGGGGATTAATATTCAGGCAGGTGACAGGGCCAAGCCATTAAAAGGCAGTTATGCAGAAAGCATGGCTGGTTTTATTCACGTTAATGAAATCAGTGAAATGAAACTGTAATAGATTTATCAAAGCTCAGATGGATTTGCTGTAAATCAGTTTGATTCAAGCAATCAAACTGGACAATAGAGATAGTTTTCAGCTCTAGCAATGGGTGTCAGAAAGCAGCATGTGAAAAGTGCTGATATTCTTCATGTATGGATTTGATATCCACCCCATGCACAGGCCTATTCCCAAACCACTGCTGCTAATTTTTTTGTCTTTTGAACTAGGTGCCAGTGGCTGATAAAACATACAGCATATCATCTTAATACAGCACTTACACTGTTTTTATTCCTCATTTTTAAGTCCCCCAGAACATCAATTCTCTCCAATTGCTGGCCAAGAAAAAAGGAAAGTTCGATAGGGCACGCATTAGCATCGCTGCCCCTCCGCTGCCCAGAAGAAGGAGGCCAGCCCTGGCCAGGGCATCTCCTCACAACTGACTCCAGTAGGATCTCCTACACTGATGCTGGCAGGGGGGCGGGGGATGAGGGCGGCGAGCAGACCACAGTCTCAAAGAGTGATGGACGCGGGGCAGGAGGAGCTCTAAGAAGCTGAGAATTTACTTTTGTTCTGGGTCTAATGAAATAATTTGGTATCCATTAGAGGGCAGCATTAGAACAAAAACTGAGCACAGCAGGGGAGGTGTCCCCCTGAAGATAGACAAGTAAGTACCTTTGCGGAGGTAAACTTTTTCGACGCGGTAATATTTTCCAAGGGTAAAGCCAATGAATGGAGAAAGCTAAGGAATGGAAAAGATAGGAACAAATACTACTGTCCGAGAAAAATGACACCGAATAGCGTATGCTAATTTAGCTTTAGGGAGATTTTTCAGTCCACACGTTCACTCCCTCTACATTTCACCCTTTTTAGGGTTCAAGTAGAAATACTTCGGTCTTGAGCTTAATGATCTCGTGAGGGTTTTGAGGTCGGTGTTTCTCAACGGAATTGCAATAAATTGTGAAACGGTGATCAGGTTTTTGTTTTCTTAAAAAGTGCATCATGGATTGTAGGTTGTACTAAAACTACTCTAATTGGTCTAATTTTTATTTATTAGAAACAAATTGTTCAAGAACTAAAGCCGGTTTTTAATGATCCAAAACAGAAATAAATGTTCTAGTCTATTAGTGTCCTATATGGAATAAATCAATATTAAAGCTAATTAACCCTTTTCAAAGGCATTTTGTCCCAGGTTTTTATTTAATGGTTCAGTGCTGCTTAAAGCATGGATCAAGCTGGATAAGCTCCATTTAAATAAAGGCCCATTTTGAAAACAGTTTAGCAGCTCACTATGACAAATATATTTATCAGGATAAACTTGAATTTTTCAACTGTATAAATAACTGACCGGAGTTCCTTAAAAGATCTGGTAATAAAATAGAGATTAAGGACAACAGACAAACCTGTCCATTTAGCAATGGTCTAACACGATAGTAACTGACTTGGTTTATTGCTTTTTAAAAATATTTATCTTTAGAAATATTCTCAATCTTTACTTTGGAGGCTGTTCCTAAGGGCAGGGGGGAGGAAGTCTCCATTTCAGATGTTTCATTCCAGGCCATATGTGAAATGCAAATCTATGATTTGTCCTTTTTGGAAGAAGCCATGATTTTTTAATAGTGTTCAAACACATAGTGCAAAGCACACACCTTTCAGGACATAAATGACTACTTTGACATATGAAACCCAATGAAAATTATATACATTATTTAAGGATTTCGGCACTCTTCCCCTTTTGTTATACTAGCAAATCACAGAGTGTACTTTAATATCAAGCTATTTTTTTAGTTATAAGATAGATGATATATTTTGTACATGAATTAAATTCTTCACGGTGCCAGAGGAATTAATTTGTGATGTTATGAAAATTTGATTAGCCCGCTGTAAAATCAGAATTGTTTACCACAAGTGTCTAGATTCTGACTCTTACAGTCTTTCCAAACAAATAATGAAATGAACTGGGATGGGCGGGGGGGAGGCAGGGTAATTTATGAAAACATGGTACACCATAATTTTGCCATTTTTCTGCAGTAAGGATGGCAAATGATTCATGGGATAAAACGAAATATTTCTCACTGTCATTTCAATGGATCTAAGATTTACAGCTTCTTAACTTGGATAGGAAAAACTCAAGATGCATAAAAATGAATTGTAAATCCATTAATGGTGAGGACGAAAAACAACAAGAAAAAATTCTTTTAGGAAAAGAAGAGCAAAGCTACCAGGCCACAAATGAAAAGGAAGCAGCAGCGGCTGTTTACTCGAAGACCCTTGAAGGAAGAAGGTAGTGAAGAGGGAATGCTTGCTCAGAAGAGGGCATTGAGGTCAGGTTCAAGAAAAGTGCTACGTTGATCAAGCTCATTACGTTTAGATCACTTAGACAAACAGAGGCAGGTAGCCTTTAAAGCAAAATCAGATATGCCGGGGTTGAATTTTTTAAAGATTATGAAAAAGACCCAGTTTTAAAAGGTTAAAACGAGTAAAGAAAGCCTGGGACGATGAAAAAGCAGCTTCCCGATTCAAGACTCTCCTCAACCCAAACTGGTTTTTTACAGGCACTAGGGCCCAAAAACAGGAGAACATTTTTTTACACCTCCCCGCTCCTTGAGACAAGGAAAGCTAGCAGCAGCAATGAAGAAGTGAACCTGGGCTCAACAGGAGCTGCTGTACCTGGAAAATGAGACCAGAGACACTCAGCTTAAAATGCCCAATAACGGGCTTGAAGGGCTCAGAAGCTGGTGAAACCAGTTGTGGCAAATGCCACACTCTAATAATAGCCACGGTGGGTACCACGACACTGGAGCCTCCCATCTCTTCACTGAAACCACGACAGGATACATACCTTAACTCCGACGCGAACACAGGGAACTCACAGGGGAACCGATCCATCGTAGGGTTTACTGAACAATGCAATTCAATGCCAAATGTGGAGAAGGAACATGGCCCTGATCATTTTGCTAAAGCGGTATTTTGCTTAGATCAAATGAATCTTAGGATTCTCAATCAGGGATTTAACGAAATGCGAAGGTAGTTCTTGACTTTTTGCCAAGGGTCCAAAACCTTCTAAGCACAGGACCTTGCAGGACTATCTCGGGTGTCCTCATAGCTCACACAGCTCACGTTCTGTGTGTGCATTTCACAAGTTTGGTAGTTAGACGCCTCAAATACAAAATATGGGCACAAAAGCCTCATCAACACCATCTCCTATACAGAAATTTTCTCATTATAAGGGTGACACACCAATTTGAAACTTAGGTTTCCTTCCTAAGTCAAATGGCATCAGGTGAAATCTGACACGGGTGATAATGCAGTGTTGCCAAAGATTGCAAATACGGATGTTAGTATCTATTTCCCTTTCTTTGATTTACCATCAATTTTATACATTTTGAAAACTGGGAGCCATGTATTTCGACAAATTTTATGTTGACAAATTTTAAAGTGCTATAAAATTCGAAAAGCTAGATCCCTGGGCAATGTTTTGAGCTGCAGTATATTTCTTTCCAGGCACTGAACAAACAGTTCATTGTTACAAGTCTGTCCAGGAGCCATCGCTTTGGGGTATTCTATACAATTTCAAAGAACCTTCAGAAACTCACACATGCCTTTGAGCATGTGAAACCAGGAGGCCGCACATCTAAACCACAAATGGAGAATATGCTCCATAATACATGTGTAAATTAAAACCTATAAAAAAAATGGGCATTATAAAATTTGTGTTAAAACTGTGATAACAGCTTTGCTGATTTACTGACAATGAAAATATATAGCATTTTTTCTGTCAGAGCATTTATCAACACTTGGCAACCCTGCACTAACTTGACATGTAAGATGATCAAAATGGATTATGTAATCTTTCCCATTCATTTCTATTGATTTTAGTTATGATAAAATTCATCAGTGTGCCTGGGAACACTCAGGCTGAAAAGCTCTGGTTGACCAAGAAAAAAAGGAAAGAAAAAAAAAAAAATTCAACAGAGTTGTAACAGGATGAATATAGTTTTAGAATAAGACTGCACAAATACATGACACAAGTCGTGCCCTAAAGGCTCCAGCAACAAATTAATACAAATAATTCTGGCAGTCTCATAAAATTACATCTGTCTATGCAGAGATTCACTTTTGAGATAAAATTACAAAATTACTAGCCAGAAGAATTCATGGGTAAGGGCCATTAAAAAAATAGTTTGTGGAAATATTATCAAACTTTTTTAAACTTCAACAGTAATCAAAGTTACTTCTCTGACTGTAAGTAACATAAAAATGCCAGCAACTGGACCATTTTAATCAGTTTTATTGATTCGTGCTTTCAGTTCTTATTCAGTTAAAAACAAGGCACATTAAATACATCTTCTTATTGCTCTATAAATGCATGCAGCTCATTCTGTATATCAAAAGTAATAAATAATGGCGATAAAACACCAAGACAGTTATAAAAATGACAATCCAGCCTCAAACACAGTATTTAACAGTCCCATCTAGAACAATAACCCAACACAATACATGAAAGCACCACATATGAAGGCATGCAGTGTGCATATCCACTCCAGCATGGCTTGGACTGGATAGTCTTTAAAAACACAGTAGGGCTTTCTTATTCCCTGAAAAGGGCTGACATAATGTAAAACAGTGCAAGTTAGAGCATCACTGACTTCAATATTATTACATTCATATGCCAAAAATCTTTACGAGTACATAAAAAAAGAAATAAGATCAATGATCGTCCTTACAGTATGTTCAGTAAAAGTCACAATGAAATTTTTGTTGTTGTACAAAAGACTAAGTTACATAATATTTTAGAAAAGACAAAAGAAAGCTAAAAACTAAAGCAGAATAGGGAGCATGCATGTAATAGTAGAAATCCTAAAGTTACACTTAGTATAAATTGATTGAAAGCAAGAATATTGCAAACAGCATGAGGGCTATGAGGCAGACAACCCTGGCTTAACCAATAATCCAGCATTGTCACTATTGTTAGGACTGTGGTATGGGGCTATTTAAAAGAGCATCCAGCTCTTCGCCACAGACGGGGGTTCCTTCACCTGAATCCCCTTAAAGGCTCTTGAAATAAATCACCGGATGATAAAGACAATCTCTGCACCCCTCATCCCCATCCACACAGAATCATCTAGTATCACATTTGTACAAAAAGAAAAGAAAAATTCTCTCCTGCTTGGAATAGGTTTTGAAGGGGCTAATCCCTCCATTTCCTTTCCCCTTTTCTGAAGTCAGGTACAGAAGCTGTGCAGGTTTAATTAAGAACTCACACAAAAATGCGGGGGTGCTTTATTCACAGTAGACTTGGAACCAGCTCACTTCCAAGATGAGTCTCTGGGATTGGTGAAGGAGCGTATGTTTTAGAATTAGCAGATTTTCAGCAAAAGCAGAGACGCTCAAAGGAAGCAGCAAAGTGCGCTTTTCTTTGTCCTTAAAGGAACTTCACTCATAGCAAAGCGTGTACAAACCAGGCCTGGTGTACAAATACAGCTCTGCCCAGGCCAGTCAGCCTATAAAGCCGGTCCCCACTGTAATGGGTTCAGGGTTCAGGGAGGGCACATGTTCTCACTATCTTGATCTAACTAGAAAGAGAGAAAGAGAGAGAGCACAAAGGCAGTGTATTGTGGTACATCATCTGCGGTGTTTTAAAGGACAGCTTTTCTATCAAGGGTCACCAGGTTCTAAACAGCGATTATCATCTTGATAGAAAAACACTAAATTACAAAGCCACATGCTTCCAATATATTTTTTTTAAAGGCAGTGTAAAATGTTCACATTTGAAAGAAAAACGTTCACAGTGATACCTGGGAGCATCCCTTGCTCCATTTTAGGTTTTCCTTTGGGAAATGGCAAGTCTAAACTTCATTTAAAAACAAGTGAATGTTTTGAAGTGGGGTGGGGGTTTAGGTGGTGAGTGAACCTCCAGTGTTTACACTATGACATCCAGGCTCATATCCCACTTGAATGAGGCAGAAAGATATTCTACAATGTTCACATAAATAGAAATAACAGCACAAAAGTGTTTTATGTACCAGTTAAAAAAAACAACTAAGATCTCAAGTCCGTGCAATTAAAGCCTGCCATTAAATACAGGGTTATATCTCCTATTACATACACAACCTGATCTTAGAAAATAAAAAAGCAGGTAGTTAACCTCACAAGAGGAAGCACAGTGGATAAATATTTAGGTGATTGGTTAAAATGCTAGTGAAGTATTGCAAAAGCATACCGAATTGGCCCTTTAAATTCAACGTATTATTTGTTAAATTCAATCAGACTTATTTTTGTTTTGTTTTGTGTGTCTCTGTGTGTGTGGTGGGAAGGGTCTGTATGTGGGTGAGTGTTGTGCATGATTTTCTTTCTTTTCTTTTTCTCTGTGGTTGAGAACTTTTCCACGGAGTCGAGAAGGAGAAAGGCTTTAAGCAACCCAAATAACCCAAATGACCTTGACTACTGCAGCATTGTGCCTTTTTACAAATAATTATAATTAAAGTTAACTAAAGGTTACTTCGATCCTCTTTTACTCTCCATTTGAAATTACTCCCCCAAGGGCGCCTGGGTGGCTCAGTTGGTTAAGCGACTGCCTTCGGCTCAGGTTATGATCCCAGGGTCCTGGGATCGAGTCCCACATCGGGCTCCCCCTGCTCTGCGGGGAGCCTGCTTCTCCCTCTGCCGCTGCCTGCCATTCCCCTTGCTTGTTCTCTCTCTCTCTCTGTCTAATAAATAAATAATAAAATAAAATAAAATAAAATAAAATAAAAAGAAATTACTCCCCCAAAATGATGCAATAAACTAAGCCAAAGAGGCCATGTTTGACAACAGCACATGGGCCACAGTTTAGGATTTGGGGATTGAAAATCGTGCCATCGCATGTGGATACACACACACACACACAGGTTTTTAATCCTTAACTTTATTACTACTGTGAGGATTTGAGAAATTTAGTCTCATCCCATCACATCCAACTTGCCACTTAAACGCTGGTTTTAAAATATGAAAAGCAAGGATCTTCCTGGCAACTATAATAGTCAAAGAAAAACCAGCAGTGACTGGGAAAAAAACCGAATTGCTGAGATGAAACTATCAGTGTAACTTCCAGGAAATGTCAACGCTATCCTTATCTTACACCTGTGATTCTGGAAGCGTTCAGAGTTTCTCTTTGAGACTCGCTCCTGTAACCAGATCTAAACTTTGTCTTCGCTCTTCGGTTTTGCCAGTCATACCCTAGACATAAAACTACCCGGTATTGTTTGGATGGGGAAGGCAATCCACCTCAGGGAAGAAGGATCTGAGAGGTCTCCAGAAATGCTATCATTTCTATAGGTCACTCCCTGCTCAGTTTCTGTTAGGAGCAAATCCTATCTACAATCTTAATGTCCAGAGCTTTGTGCACGTCACAAGAAATTTTTCCAGCCTCTTTTCAATTTTGGCCAAAATGCTCTGTCCCTAGGAGTGATTCAGAATAAATGAAGAGACACACAAAAAGGGAGTGTGTCCAGTCTAACAGGTTACAAAATGGATGCAAAGCATTAAATCAGTGTGCATTGAAAGTGAGAAAAAAGATAAAATACACTCTTTAGAAGCTAGATTGAATGGCAAATACAAATAAAGGGTATACATCAACGTCCTAAAGCTTTGGGATGTTTCCCAGTGTTAACAAAGGCAGCCATCCATGGCCACTATTTGGGAGTGGTGTAAGTCATCTCTGGTTGTTACATGATGATTTGTTGTTCCTATGTCTGTTGGCCGTGGACTTACTGCCCAGACTCACAATCCTCCACAACTTCGGTCCACTGGAATGGGGACTCTTCTGTCGAGGTTCTCTTCAGCAGTTTTCATCAGTATCGCTAGCCGGCTTCCAGACACCCTTCCTTTCTGAATAGCACTCATCAGCTTCAAGAGAAAATAGGCAACAAGAGTCAGAAGACAGGCATGCTTCCTCCCTTCTTCACTGCATTTTAATGGTTACCTCTGCAGCAGGCAGATGCGATTAAGCGCTCCATCAAAAACCACAGCAGGTATTACAGCACCAATAAGAATACAATTTTTGAACATTTCAAAAAGGAGGAAAGGGGCAGGTATTTCAGGGCTGCCAAAACTACACCTACCTAGCAAATCAGCCTGCTTTTTAAATGCAAATCGAATGCATCATTTTTTGCCCCTTTCATGTGCTCAAGACACATATTTTTTTGAGCAACTCAAATATTGGAACTTTAATTTCATTTAAAAATCTGAAAAAGGAATCTCAGGGATTGAACAAAGACAAACCGTGACCTATATTTAACTACTCTTTTTTAGTGTTACTGTACTTGACAACTTCAAGTCCCTTAAATCCAAATTCCTTAAAGACTTTTTAAAGTAATTTACATTTAAGTCCTTGAAATGGACCCAGAGATCTACCTTAAGAATTAAAAGCACTCCACAGCCCAGATTTTAGTTAATTCATTTTTATCCAATGGATAAAATCAGAATTAGTCTTGAAATTACATGCAGACAGCGGGCAAAGGCCTTTAATCTGGAAGGCACTTTGCAATTATGAGCATGGGGATTTTTTTTTTCTTTCTCAAGTTGATGTGGTTTTAACTATTTGCTTTTCTTGATCTCACTTCCCCAATCTTTTGTATTTATTTATTTGAAAAAGAACTTAGCCATTGATCAGGAAAAATTCTCAAAATATTTTTAGGGTTATACTCTTTAGCCTACAGAGATACATTTCTTAAAAATGGCTCTGAATAAGAGTCAGAGGCATCTGCCAAGGGGCTGGATCAGAATTTCATGACCTTATTAAAAACTGTTTCACAAGCCATTGCTTATTAGAGATGGACTCCTACATGCAGAGCGTCATTAGAGCCCAAACCTAAAAATAAAGTCATGTAACCATGCAACATCTGTAGTGATCCTTCCATGATGATTAGTGAAAAAAAAAAAACAGATCTATACTCAAAAAGGTGTTTAATGGGATAAACATGGGCTCTTTATGTTCAGAAAAGAAAAATATTTTATTCAAAAGAAAAACCCAACCCTGAAAAACATACTTTACATCTGACAAATGGTATAACATAAAGAATGCTGACATCTAAAGACAGAACAATTTATTGTTTATTGTTATGTCTATGGTTCCATGAAGACTTTCTAAGTTTATTGGACCTAACAAAACTGATAGAGCTAGAGTTTTTTCTTGATCCATAAACATTATATGATGTACCAACCTTTAAAAATTCAGTTTTCTTTAAACATTTACATGTATCTTGAAACCACATTATGAGAAAAAAACACAACAACAACATTTGGGTGTGAATATATTTCATGAGAAATATGGTCAGCATTTTTTAAGTTGAAAATTACACTGTGTATTTGTCCTTAGTAGAAGCATGAATAGTCTCTTTCATTTAGAAGTGGACAAGAAATAATTATTTAAAAACTCTACAAGGAAACCTGCAGATAGTTTAAATTATTTTCTATGTGTTTAATTCTATTGCACTCAAGAAAATTACTTAAAATCCAAACCACATATCATATCCATAAAATTAGATTCTTATTGTTTCTAAAACTCCAGATCTTTCAACCCTAAATGCTGTTGTTTATTTACAACATGCATGAAATGAAGTCTAAGCTATTTCTTTGAAGAAAAGTTTTCTAAAATTCTGAGACAAACAATAAAATATTCTTGAGAAAAAGCTAGACCAAAAAAAAAAATGTATTAAATGGTTTCTAATTCCCCAGCATATATTTTAAACTCCATTTCAAATGTGCACTTAGTTAAACAGTAAGCTAAAGAACTAAACATTCTTTTTTGTAATGCTGGACACAACCTGTGAAAATTTTCTGCATTTAGATTCAACAATGCTCTTATCTAGAGCTCATCTCCAGAGAGACAATTACCATTTCCTTTGCCTTGATATTGTTTGTTTAACTTGACACAGTGAAGAAAGGGCTGACATTGACCAAAATCCCCAGCATTAATTTATTTCATGTTCAGCATTCATCATTGCCAGGGTGCAAGCAAGACCTGGCATTCATTTGAAATACCTGCCCAAGAAGCACTGTGGAAAAAACCTGGCCGCTTGGAAACCAATACATTCTTCATATGATCAGAGTCCTATGGACGGCTGCAAATAACGCATGGGTTTATTAAATTTCCTTCTTTTAAGGAACTTTTAAGGAATGATGTGCAGATTCCAGTTTGAAGTTAGAATAACAGAATTTACTCCCTTCACGGTTACGATGAAACAACTGAGCCTTGGGAAAGTGGAACAATGGAAATAGAAATGCTTGAATTATAGGGTCTTGACCCCAAAATACAGGTTTCCTTTCTTTTGCTTTTCAGGTTCTTTATGATGTAAGAATAGTATAATTACATTTCAGGGTCTCTAGTAAATACCCTCAAATCAATACAACTAGGATTTTTTTTTAACTTCATGAAAAAAAATTACTTTCCACATTAGAAATATGGGTGTGCGTCTTTTGAAGCAGAGAAAGTATAGTCTGTCAGTGGTAGTCCATGGCCTATTTCTCTAAAAAGCATACTTCTTATTCAGCCCTTTAAGCCATAATTAACTTGGATTTCATCTAAATTGCCCAACACAACAGAATGTCTTAGAAGAAAGAAAAAAAAAACAAGAAAGAAAGAAAAAAAGAGAAAAGAACATGCACCATGCAGAGCCTAATCCTTGAGGGCAGACAGAGGCAACCCTTGCTGGCTTCAAGCTTCTTTTTTTCAGAATGAAGTGACAACCATGTGGACTTAAGAATCCATTCTCGAACAGTCATTCACAACCAAAAGATAAAAAGCAAACACACTTGTTTCCCCTCACCACAGCTCACCTGCAAAAACTCATTGAGTTCAACCTGTCCATTTTTGTTCAAATCTACTTCATTCAGAATTTCATGTAGTGTATTCTCATCCATTTGGACGTTGATACTCTAAATAAAAGGAAAGCACAAAATAATAAGGTTTAATTAAAAATGATGCATACCCTTTTATTAATGCTACCAACCTTTCAAAAATTACAAGAGAAAGTTACTTACAGAAAGCATTAGATGCAGAAAAATGATCTAATCGAGTTTTTATGTTTTTCTGCTAGCAAAGATATTGAACCAAAAAAAGATTACCTCTAATACACGCTGAACATCAACAATGGTAATAAAGCCCTTTTGGTCTGCATCAAACTTATGAAATCTCTTCTTGTACCTGGAACACAACATTGAACATTGGAAAAATATACCTACGTAGGTCAAGTCAAAACAGAGAAATATGGAAACTTATTAGAAGTACCTGTCGATGTCGGAAGGTAGGAGGCTAATTTCAGAGCGATCTGTTAACTGTTCTGATCGAGATTTATAGCCCATTTCATAATACAGAAACTTCCTGGCTGTTTCAAGTTCCTCCTAAAACACAGGCATACACAAAGTTCAAAGATTTATGGAAAGAATTATTGATTTTTTTTCTCCTTTCTCACTTTTCTGACCAGCACAATTTTTTATTTCTTCCAATTTTACTGAAGTATAATTTATATTCACTAAAATGCACCTATTTTAGATACACAGTTTGATGTATACTCTACCACGATCAAGATAACAGAACATTTCTATCACCCTAAGAAGCTTCCTCGGGCCCTTTTCAGTTGATCTGCTAGCCTCAGGCCATCACTGATCTGCTTTTTGTCTCCAGAGTGTTTTTGCCTTTTCTCGAGTTTCACATAAAAGAGTCCATACAGTATGTAGTGTTTTGTGTCTGACTGCTTTCACACAGCACAATAATTCTGAGATTCGCTCACGTTGTCGCCTGTTTTCATATTTCGTTTCTTTTTCCTGCAGAATATTCTCACCCAGTATAGTCTAATCAAATCTAGAAAACCCAAACCTTGTGGTTTGGTGACAAAGCAATTAAAGGTGGCACACACAAGTCATTGACAGACATCATGGGATTAGCTACTCTGAAGCTTTGTCCCAAGGATGCTGAGAGTTGGGTGGAAGTTACAGAGTCACGAGAAGAAACAAGCTCTCTGAACAGTTACTCTGACACTTGCCACTGTCCACAGCCTCAGCAGATAGTAACTATTGTTGAGAACATTGTCTTTCTTAGTTTTTCATGGCACTCTCCTGCTGGCTTACAGCTTACAAACCGTCTTTTTCTTTCCTTTCCCTTTTTGGAATTTTATACTACATTTGCCCACCTTCTGTCTTCTGGTTCTGTTCTTATTTGCCACAATATTTTAAAGCTCAACGGTAGTTAAATAATCCCATCTGCAAATTCTCTGAGTACCCAAAGATATCATTTTTCTGGGCTGGCATATAAACTCATTTAGAGCAGCCTCCTATTTGAATATCTATTTCCTCTTACCAATATTTATTTTGCTCTTTTCACACTGAAAACCATTCTCCTTGACAAAAAAGAAGGAAGGAAATTTGGTATTAAACTCTGAGTTGAATTGTTCTCCCTTTTCTCCAGCATTCAAGAATATGGTGCCAGTCACTTTAAACAATGATCTAGGTTAAGCCTTACATGTATTCTTTTTGACTTTTTTAAAATTTATTTTTGGTGTCCTTAGCATTTTTTCCCCCAATGTTTAGTCAACTCCTGACACTATTCTATTCCTATATCCACATTAGTCCAGGATACCCTTTCATTGTGGAGCACTTGTCTTCCATCTATTTTAAATGTGGTGTTTATCAGCTGGCTTTGTTCTGAGTCACAGTCCTGTTTCTTCACTTGCTGCCCCTTTTTCCTCCACATAAGAATCAATTTTGAGGGCGCCTGGGTGGCTCAGTTGGTTTAAGCGACTGCCTTCGGCTCAGGTCATGATCCTGGAGTCCCGGGATCGAGTCCCGCATCGGGCTCCCTGCTCAGCAGGGAGTCTGCTTCTCCCTCTTCCCTCTCATGCTCTCTGTCTCTCATTCTCTCTTTCTCAAATAAATAAATAAAATCTTTAAAAAAAAAAAAAGAATCAATTTTGAAAGAATTTCTTTTGGTGAGCCCCTCTCAATTGACTTAAGTGGTCTTCTCTTTAAAGTCTCTCAAGGAAATGTGTGTTTTATCTGAAGGTATAATGCTATGTTTATCTGAAGGTAAAATGCTATGGCAGCATTTTCCAACATGCATCCTGAGTAGTATTGGTCTCCCTCCCTCCAGTCCTTCCAAAGAGTGAGAGGTGGGTCCGTCTCTGAATAAGTTCCCTTTTGGAAACTGACAATGCACATAGTCATTCGAAAGGCACCAAATCATCTGTGCTAAAGAAAATGCTTTCGTTTGTTGAACTCAGAATTTCCCAAATTCTTCTGTCCATGTAGTCGTCTTTTGATTTACACTTTGCGGAGCACAATTTGGCAATGTCCCATTCTCTAAATGTCCTCACCAACTCCTCTATCAATCCCCAGTTCCCCTAGACAATGTCTTCTTCCCTAATCAGTTCTTCCAGTGCGGTTGGATTCGATCTTGAGTAGCTGTTCTCTAAATCTTTCTCTCAATTTTGAAAAGAGACATACATTTCTGAGGTATATATTGGTTGTAACCACTCAATTAGATTTCAAGATCCTTGAAACTATGAGCTATTTATTATTCCCCTAAAATATTTGGTATAACGCTCAGTATACAAGTCACTCATTAAGTATTGACTGGTAAAAACAACCACAATTCATCTACAGAGAGTTATTTATTACTTTGTTCTGCTTTCACTTTTGCAGGTTAAATAATCCCAATGCTTTTAACCTTTTCTCAGAAGTCCAGATATGTAACCTTTAATTCTTTTTCTCCTTCTCCTTTGTTCTCTCTAGACTGTCCACAGGTCTCATTAATACTCCTACAGCTCAGATACTAGATAATAACTTAAGGTCTTTTATTTCTCTTACTTTGTTGAGGGGGATGGGAGAATATTTCTGAGCACACGAATCTACTCATAAAACTTGAACTGAATGAAGTTAAATCTAGTTTCCTCAGGAGGGCCAAACACAGCCAGTTTACAGAATTTTCTTCTTCCTTCCTACCTCCTACAGCCTGAATTCCTGGCACCAGCTATCTTCCTGCATATTCAAATCTTTCCAACCATAATTTTTACAGGAACACATTATCCCCAATCTTTCTATATGGTAAAAAAAAAAAAAAAAATGATTGGCATTAGCAAAGGAGCAAGTTTCACTCTTGGGTTGTCTCTGTATGCGGCTTTTGTCCATGAAATCAAAACTCAACACTGGAAGAGCTACAGCCAGTTCTGCCAAAGCAGAGGCAAGAGGGCAAGGTGGGGAAAGCGCATGCCCTGAAATCAGAGTACCTGGTTTCGGTCCCCGTTCCACAGTTTACTAAGTGTATGAACTCTGACTGGACTTACTCCCTGAGCCTGTGTTCTCACCTATAAAATGGGGGTAAAGGTTACTCCTGACAGACCTGTGGTCAGGTTAAGGACCTCTTCAGCCAGTGATTTCTGCTATCAGTACACTACAAACATTGCATTAAAATTACTACAGGAAAAAATTTTAAAATGTAGGGCCATGGTTTCACCCCTGAAGACCCTGAATCTGATAGTCTAAAGTCATGCCTCAAAATCTGTTCTTTTCCCTACATTTTCAGGTGACTCTGATATGTAACCACCTTTGGGAATCTATACCAGAATGAGAATGTTTTAAGGACAGGATCTATGCCCAATCCTTCCTTACACCTTCCACATAGGACACAGATGCGCAGTTATGTCCATTCATCATGGACAGTTATTTATTTAGGGCCTATCATGGCTGGCACTGAGGTTACAGAAACAAAGCAGATCATGTCCTCTCCTTTGGAAAGCTTATTTCCTGGATTAGAGGCAGATGACAAATAAACAAACAACTAAATACATGGTATATCAAATGGGAATAGATGCCAAAGAGAAAAATGAGGTAGGGAGAGGGTTAGGAAGTGAAGGGATAGGCCATGAGGGTATCTAGGAATGACCATTCAGGCAGAGGAACCAGCAGGGCTTAAATAAGGAAGAGCAACTCAGCTTGTGGGGAGTGAATGAATGGGAAGTCCAGAGGGATCAGAAAGGTGGTGGCCAGATCACAGAGACCTTGTAAACCACTGTCATGACTTTGGCCTTACACAGAGTAAAACAGAGGGTGTTTTGGAAAAGTAATTGTTAATTATCAGTCCTCATCTTACTAGTCTATCAGCATCATTTGATACAGTAGATTACTTTCCTCTTGAAATACTTTCTTCCTCTCCTTCTGGGACACAACTCTCTCTTCAGTCTTTTCACACTTTCTCCAACCTCGTTAGCTATCGCTTTGCCTTTCTCAGGGAGTCTTCCTTACCTACCCAACTTTTAAACTCTGGAGAGCTCCAGGGCTGTGTTTGAACAACTTGCTGTTATCTAACTACACGAACTCCCTATATGAGCTCATCCAGCGTGATGGCTTAAATACCAACTCAAATTTACATCTTTTCTTCAGACCTCCCCTCTGAACTTCATTTGGACGGACATATCCAATGATCTGGCTTATGTTTTAATAGAATCACGTAAGAACACTGCCTTGTGGGAGGGAAGCTTTTATAATAAACCATGGAAGAAATGCTGGTAGCTGGAAACAGGGTGATACTAAGAAGGGGTTGAATTCAAGCCATTATTTGAAGATAAATATGATACAGTTTGCTGATGGATTCAGATCAAGGATGGTATTAAGATTTATGCCTAAGGAACCAAAAGGTGGAATAGCTATTTTTGACATGGAGAGGTTAGTAGTTGTAGTAGTAGTAGTGAGTGCTGGTGGTGGTGATGGTGGTGGTAGTTCAGATCCAAAACAGATGGTGCTATGGACTGAACTGCTCCCCCCAAAATCCATATGTTGAAGCCCTAACCACCAATGTGATGGTATTTAGAGACGGGGCTTTGGCGAGGTCATTAGGTTTAGATAAGTCTTGAGAATGGGGTCCCCCTTCCTCCCTCTCTCTCCTCCATGTAAGCACACAGCAAGAAGGCAACTCTCTGAAAGCCAGGAGGAGCCCTCTTACCAGAACCCAACCATGCTGGCACCCTCATCTCAGACTTCTAGCCTCCAGAATTGAGAGAAACGAAGGCCTGCTGTTTAAGCCACCGAGACTGTGGTATTCTGTAACAGTAGCCCGAGTAGATTAAGACAGAGAGGATTCCAGAAAGTAGTTCAAGAAGGAGGGAGGAGTCAACTATGTCAACGCCACTAAGTGTGTGAGTAAAAGGAGGACCAAGAACCGACAAGTGTATTGAGCAACATGGAAGCCACTGGTGAGCGTGATCAGAGCTACTATAGCAACGTGGCAAAAACAAGCTTCAGTGGAATGGGTTCAAGAAAGACTGGGGAATGGGGCGCCTGGGTGGCTCAGTCATTAAGCATCTGCCTTCGGCTCAGGTTATGATCTGGGGGTCCTGGGATCGAGTCCCGCATTGGGCTCCCCACTCCACAGGAAGCCTGCTTCTCCCTCTCCCACTCCCCCTGCTTGTGTTCCCTCTCTCACTGTCTCTCTCTCTCTGTCAAATAAATAAAATCTTAAAAAAAAAAAAAAACTTTTAAAAAAGAAAGACTGGGGGGGTGAGGAACAGAACCAATGCGCACAGAAAGTATTTTTCCTATAAATACACAAAAATGTCTCTGCATATTATAACAGTTTGATTTAATTAAAAATCATGAAAATCTTCTGTTTATTACAGCAAGCCCAGAGTTGTAAATGTGGGCATCTGAGCATCATTGGCTTTTTTTTAATTTGGATATAAATATAAAATTCCAAATGACACAAACCAGTAAGCATTTAGTGGTCAGGCAATAAAACCACTATTTCCTACCAAAGGCAAATTTGCACAAGTGTGAATTTCACTAGAGAGTACATTCGAAAAGTGTTTTCAATGAAAACCAGAAAAGGTTCTACCCACAATCATTATTATCCTACTTTTTCAGGAAATATGACCACAAATTTAAGAGTATTTTTCTATAAGGTATTTTCCAGAAACAACCAACACATTTTGAAACCGGAATATCTTTCCAGTTTCTTAAGACCTAGCAATATTAAACACACACACCCGCCACGCAGAAACTGGCAAGAAATCGAAAGTTCCCATTGAAAACTATGCTAGCCTCTACTAACAGACCAAGACATGACATGTTTATAATAGGAACTGTGCTTTTAAAGACTTCTATATAATACCTCTTTTTTATAATCATCCCAATTCAGTTCTCTGCCCATCAGTTCAACAATTCTGGGTAGGGCTTCCTCTGCTGCCTGGACATTTAGGAAGGCCAGGCGAGTCCGCCGTGAAATCATATCCACTGCTGTGCAGGCATACTCCTTAATCCCATATTTCACCTGAGTTGACATTAAAACAAAATTATTAGTGTGGACCTTTTTTTTTTTTTTAAGAAGAAATAACACTTCACTTAAAAAAAATTCACACTTAGGGAAAGTGACATTGTTCTTTATACACTCTTGTTTTCTAGTAGGCATGAGACAAATAATGATATCATACAAGTTCCCCGTCTGCCAAAGAAGGTTTGTAAATTGGGACAAAATGGAAAAGAGTTGATGCCTTCTTCCTGAATTGACCCTGGCACAAACATGCACACTGCATCGAATCCCATTTACCATCCACAGCAATCACTTACTTCTTTGCTTATACATCACACGGATGTTAATTTACATAGCCAAGTAGGCAATGAACAAGTATGAAAAAGTATAGTCTCATGTCTTTAGGCTGTCCAGAGTTTTCTCTCTCAAGAGTACCCAGAGGACAGAAGGCTTGCACTCAATCAACAAGCAAATGCTTACTGGACACTCGTACTTTAAAAGTACAATGAATCATAAATAAATATAAAGCGTGGTCTCTGGTTTCACAAAATGTGGAAACTTGATGAGAAACAAAATTTCAATCTTTGGGAAGTTAAGTGCAAACCAAGATATGTCAAGTGAGTATAAACTTGAAGAGTTACAAATTTACAAAAGAGGCAAACAACTGTGAAGTCACAAGACTTGGGATAACTCTGTGGAGGAGGAAGAAATAGGTATTTTATATTAACATCATTACCACTGTAAATATCACTTCAGATTTAACATTTAAATTTATAAATGAAGGGATCTGGGCTGGGCAGACATTTTGCTAAGGCTCTGGCTGGCAAACGGGCATTAAAATTTAGTCATATATAGTTTTTCAAGATGATGACAAATGAACAGGTGACCAGCATCCCAATGGCAGACAGGAAATTCCCACGTGGCCATTCACATACCTCGGCTTCAATGTATGGAAATTCTGACACAAGACGCACACCAACGATGGGCCACCTTTTTCCAGTTACACTTGCCATTTTGGCCACCTCAAAAGCCTTGTCACCATAGGTGGTGGCAAGATGCTGTGCCACCTAGGGAAACAAAACTGCATTAGGCAGGTACTTTTAATATCAATACCGTCTAGGCATGAAGCAAAAAATGCACACGCTTATCCTGTCAGTTTTTCACAGCCCGTAACTAATAGTTCCAGGAGAGTATTAGATTTTGATTTTGTGGGAGGAAACCACTTGGGCTCTGAATGCTTAGGCCAGCACTAACTCTGCCACGCATGTGTCAGTGTATCAGTGACTGATGAAGCTTCAGCTTCACTCTGCCCCCAGTGTCACTTCTGAAGAACAGCCTTCCATACCCTCGAGACAGAAAGAATGTGGGATGATGCTCTGTCTGCGGAGAACAAACCAAACCAACCCCAGACTTTAAAATAGAAACTAGTATGTGCATTGCTTTTTAGGCAACTGAAGAAAAGTATGATCAGCTTTTTTCCTTAGTTCACTTCCACAGCATGCAGACAGAAACAAGCCCAGCAAAAGGAAATTCTAAATCAGGGAGGTCTCCTGGTTGCCAATTCTGTTTGTGGCAATAGTGAGATGAGGTGAAGAATAGGATGATGCATACCCACCTCACTTTCAAGCCCATAATCCTGGACAAGCCTAATGTAGAGTGTGGGGCTCCAATCTCTGCCCCCTTGAAGGAAAAGCCCAACTGTTCTGCTTGGTCCTGCTTTCAAATTATGAGCCTTGATAGCAGCATTTATGGTATCTTCTGCCATAGATCGATACGTTGTCCACTTTCCACCTACAAATAATTTGGTAAATAATTCATTAGGTTACCACCCTTATTTTTCTTATGATGACCCATTTGCCAACTGATTCATAAAATTCACCTGTTGTTTATAACAAATATGGCAAAGCGATGTGTAAGACTTTACTCAGACTCATCAAAAAAATTCTCTGTTCATTAGCATCAAGAGAGATTCTGGTGTGACAGTTTAACTCAGGGTCCTATCTAAAGCACACCCAAAACACAAGATAATATGCCATACCTGCTATAGTGATGAGGCCACTCTCACTGATATCCACAACATGATTTCGGGAGATGGACTGAGTATCTGCAGACTTGGGATCAGTAACAAGGGGACGGATACCACTCCATGCTGCCAGGACGTCCCCTCTTCTCACTGGGAAGAATCAATGGGAAGGGTGAAGAGGATGACCTAAAGATATTTCAACAAAACTCTGAAATAGCTAATAAGCAGGAGAGAATTCAGGAAAAGGAACACACGAATACAGGCTTTGAAAGAGAGAAGCAGCCCTTAAATATAAAACAATTAAGTGAGTGGATAAGTACAACAAAAACTCAAAGAATTATTTGGTTACAAAGATAATCTGCACAGACACACACACACAAAGCAAATAACCTGAAAATCACTGACACTGATTCCTATCAAAAGAGGAAACAAAAGAAACACATGTTACTAACCCTCAGCTGGAAGGATCTAGAACAGTTGAAAGGAACAACAACAAAGTAGAAACAAAACAAAGACAAAGGGATAGATTTGTTACTTGTTACATTTCCTCCTAGAATATACTTAGCTCTCTCTTCTCTGAAAGGATAAAAATCCTTACTAAACAAACAAGCCTGTAACAGGGTATTTTCTCCCCTCATCAATGCTACCCTCTTATTGAGCATTTATAGTAGGCCTAGGCTTGTCAAAGCACTTGACATACACATTTCATCTCATTTAACTTCACAAAGACCCAGAGCATCAGTTATTATTATTCTCACCATAGAAATGAGAAGAAAAAAAAAAAACCTGAAAAAGTTTAACCACCTAACCCAAAGCAAAATCTTATAGATGCTAGAAGAGCATAAGAACCTAGTTCTTTCTGATTATAAAGTTCATATTCTTACCCACTAAATGTACTATCTTTCAACTCCTGACAATCTCTTTTCCCCCCTTATCCCACTCTCCTTATAACTGCCTCAAAAATAGGTATACTGGCTCCTCCTGGTTTAGGCACACCATATTTCTGTTACAGTGTATGGAAGGTCTTTGAATATTGAAGTTCCCATGAAATTTCTCTTGCCCTCTGTCAGAATACAATTACCTCTCTAAACCAAGAATTGATGGACTCTACAGTAGAATTGGACAGCTGTTACACAGCACTCATTACTGACCTAAAAATGGATAAGGAGAATAGCCTAGTGGCGGTTCTGATGTACCATGAGGCGTAAGGGCAAGGGCAAGACCCAAGGCAGAGTTTTCAGAATCTACTCTTCTTTATCCAGATCAGCTTCAGGAATGGCTTAGTCCTTTTCTTCTCCACTCTCCACATCAAGGAGCCAACCACATGCACCAACCCAAGAGTTGCCAAATGATGTAGGTGATGAGGAAGTGAATGCTTACCTGGTCCTGCTGCACTTACTTGCATAGACCAATTAATCTAACCCTGGATAACAGAGGAGTAAGTGCAAGTTTGCTCTGACCATGACTTGGGATCAGGTGTTACCTCCTTCATCTTATTCCCAGCCATGACCCTCACTGATGAAAAGTTCACTATGTTTAGAACATCAAGACAATGGGAAAATGGGATATCCACATGCAGAAGGATAAGCTCAAAGTGGATGAAAGACCTATACATAAAAGCTAAAACTATAAAACATTTAGGAAAAAAGTATGAGGGAAAATCTACATGTCATTGGGTTTGGCAATGATTTCTTGTATATGATGCCAAAGGTACAGGTAACATAACATAATAAAAAAAAGATAAAATGGGGATTTCTCAAAATTAAAAACTTTTGTGCATCAAAAGACATTATCAACAGAATGAAAAGGCAACCCATGCCGTAGGAAAAAATATTTGTAAATTTTATCTCTGACAAGAAGTTAGTATCCGGAATATATAAGAACTCTTAAAACTCAATAACTAAAAAAGACAACCTGAGTGAAAAATGGACAAAGGCTTTTAAGAGATATTTCTCCAAAAAAGATATACAAATGGCCAATAAGCACATAAAATAATGCTCAGTATCATTAACCACTAGAAAAATGCAAATGAAAACCACAATGAGATACACCTTCATATCCATTAGGCTGGCTGTTATAAAAAGCTAAAAAAACAAACATTGGTGAGGATGTGGAGAAACTGGGATAGCCTTATGTACTGCTGATGGGAAAGTAATATGATGCAGCCGCTATTGATAAGTGTATGGCAGTTCCTCAAAAAATTCAACATAGAATTACCATATTATCTAGCAATGACAATCCTGGGTATATACACACCCCAAAGAACTGAGAGCACAAAAAAAAAAAAAAAATTGTACACTTCCATGTTCATAGCAGCATTCATTCATAACAGCCAAAATATGGAAGTAACCCAAGTGACCACCAATAGATGAATGGTTAAACAACGTGTGGTCTATACATAGAATGGAATATTATTCAGCTTTGAAAAATAAGGGAATTCTGACACATACTACCTTGAAGACATTATGCTAAGTAAAATAAATCATTCACAAAAGGACGAATATTGTCTGGTTCCATTTATATGAGATACCTAGGGTAGTTAAATTCATAGCGACAGTAAGCAGAATGGTGATTGCCAGGGGTTAGGGGAGGTGGGTATGGGAGGTTAGTGTTTAATGGGTACAGAGCTGAGGAGAATAAAAAAGATCTGGAGATGGACAGTGGCAATGGTTGCACAAAAATGTGAATGTATTTAATGCCACAGAACTGTATGCTTAAAAACAGTTAAAATGACAAAATGATAAAAATTAACTTTTATAATTTTTAAAAAATCAAGACAAAAGGAAAAATTAGCACATTTCAAGTCTCAGCAGATTAAGGAAATATTTTGCATGTAATTTATAAATATCAGGACCCTCATCAGCCCATACCATGCCCAAACTTCATTCAAATTAAAATATCTCATTCAGGGGAGCACAGTTTTGTGAGCAGAGGACAGTGTGGATGTCAGATCCCACTCAGTCCTTGGGAGTGCGCCCTTGTACAGTGGACCTCCTATGTTTATACACGGCACCACCTGAAAAGTATCTAGAAAATATCTAGCAGACTCTATGGAAAGAGTCACAAAGACTCCTTGAAATGACTGGAATAGAAAAAAAATTTTTTTTAAAGGTGTCTAACCAAGTACAGGGGAAAGACCCTAAAAAACTATATTGAATGACAGATCATCCCTCCATCTTGACCTCAAATGAAAAAAAAATAAAATAAAATAGATCTCTGGTAAAGATAAATTCATCTATGGTAAATCTGGCATATTTTAATATAGCTCCTTGAGGGCCACACTCTTTTTTTTTTAATTTTTAATTGTTATGTTAATCACCATACATTACATCATTAGTTTTTAATGAGGGCCACACTCTTAACATGACACACATCTACAGTGGTGTTTAATCAAATCTGTATCTAAACAGCATCAGAAGCAAAGGAAGAGGAAACATAAGCTGGTGCAGAAAGCCGAGGGCTTCCAGTCTTGTTAATTGCAGACCTACAGAGTCTCAATGCAAGGTTCCATTTCTAAACCTGCCCTTCTGATATGTGTATTCTCTTAATTAGGTTTATCCTGATGGCTTCCATGGATTGAGGGTTAATTCTTGCTTCATGCAATTCCACAAAAGTCTTGTGAAACGTCCACACAAATCATGCAATGTTTTAATCTTTACAAAAAAAACCTAACTAGGAAATTACCACTATTTTCCATTAGAGTTCAAATAGCCCTCTGAGTCAAAAATAAAACTTAGCCAACCACACAGAACGTCACTGTGGTCACCACAGTCTGCCGAGCATGTTTGTGAAATTCCTTAGGTAGCCACACTGATCAGGAATTTGGCTTCAACTCTTAAAGCCCTCTGACTGATTTTAAAATTATCTGATGGAAAATTAGACTCTCTAGAGTAAATCTAAAGCATATGCAAATAGTCTCTGTGGCAAATGCTTTGCCTTTTCTGGTATAACAGGCAGAAAAACAAATCTGCAAAATTGTGTTGTCTAAAACAAAAAGACCAAACTAAAATATTCAAGGTTTCCCTTCATGGAGGAATATTAAATAAAACATTATGGATACTGATACCATTTTTAATCCTTACTCTTGAAATTGATACTTAAAAAAAGAAAAGAAAATGCTACCAAGAAGAGTTTATAATGTGTTAGGAACCTTAACTTATTTTATATTTTAGCATTCAGCTCTTTAACCCCAGAATTATATCCGATGAATGTTGGGATTAAATTTATCTAAAAAGCACATGTCAGGATAATCAAATTTTAAATCATATTTAAAATATGAGTCAGTCTTTATGGTCTGCCGGATTTTTATATTATTAGACCAGAGGGTGGATGGATCAGGTTATCTATCAGTTTTCTCCCAACCTTAAGATCTAATGATTTTTGTGGATTATTCAAAATGCTATTTCCTGCTGAGGGATAAAGTGCTTGTATCTCTCCACCACTGAAATTAAGTAATGACCAATCAGGGCCATAGGCATAATCTATGTCCATAGGGCAGAGCATATAGCTAAGCACATAAAACATGAATTCTAACCTCTTGTATAAAAGACGGCAACTACCTGAACTAACATGTTTCTCTCCTTATCACCTATTCACCCACAGTGGAAACCTTGCACACTGTTAAACAAACCCTAATTAAAGTTCTTTGAAGAAAGAGATTCAAAAGCAGTAGGCAGAATAGAGAATCGTTAAGCCATCTCTTAATTCTGCCCTAAACTGCTGCAGCCACATTGGCTGGAAACAACCTCAGGATGAAGCCAACTTGGAGGGTGACAGAGTGAAGAGAAATAAGGACTGTGTACCTTAGACATTGCAGAATCACAGCATTTCTCACCTCTTGAGCCTTCTTATATCTGGGTTTTTTTTTTCTTTTTTACAAGATAACACATTTATTTTATAAAACAAAAAAATACAAATTCAATGACTCTCTCAAATCGAGTATTTCCTTCTCTAAAAGTGTATATAAATATATCTTGATTCCATACAGCAGCACTGTTCCATAGACTTTTCTGCAGTGCTGGAAATGCTCTATCTCTACACACACCAATTCACTCGCCACTAGCTGCACGAACCTATGAAGCACTTGAAATGTGGTTCATATGACTGAGGAACTGAATTTCAAATTTTATTTAATTTTAACTAATTAAAAA